CAGAGAGAGGGTAGAGATAGAGAGCGGTCCTTCCCATCCTGCCTGGTTCACTCCCCAGATGGCTGCAACAGCCCGCAGCTGTGCCGATCCAAAGCCAGGAGCCAGGAGTTTCTTCCAGGTCTCCCATGTGGGTGCAGGGCCCAAGGACTTGGGCCATCCTCCACTGCTTTCCCAGGCCATAGCAGAGAGCTGAATCGGAAGTGGGGGAGCTGGGACTAGAACTGACGCCCATATGGGATGCTGGCGCTTCAGGCCAGGGTGTTAACCTGCTGTGCCACAGCCGGCACCCGTCAGTGCAGTCTTGCCTCCCCAAGCAAGGGGAACGGTTTGGAGCTTGAACAGCCCGAGGGAGGTGAGGAGGTGTGACTCTTCCTGGGTCTTTGGTCGGGGCGAGGGCCCAGGGCCCTGCAGTCAGCCCAGCTGTGGACGCCCAGGTGACAGGAGGCAGTGGCTGTGCTCTGGGAGTCTCACTGTCGTCCCAGAGGCCATCGTAAGATCCCAGGAAAGGGCGTCGCGTCGGGGGTTGGCTTCCGCAGTTTGCGTGCAGATCGGCGTGCGCGTGGGGGGTTGGCTTGCGCTTATCAACCCCCCTGCCGGGGAGGTCCTAACTACATACAAGCTGAGAAAAAATTGGAAGAAAATGAAGAAAGGTAGAAGAAATGAATAATCAAAATAAGATCAATCTTGAAGAAGAATTGGTGTGGAAAGGTTGAGGAGGCTGAAAGATATAAAAAAATAATCATGATAAAACAAAATGGTAGAAAATTGAAATTATGAGTAGGGTGAAGATAAAAAGATCAAATGTTGAGAAGTGGGAAAGAGGGTTATAATGTGAAACAGGCTACTAATAAGTGGAACCATAGCCATCATCAAAACCACCATCAAAGCTGCTGTCGTCAAAGACGCCATCGTCAAAACCGCTATCTTCAAAACCGCCATTGTCAAAACCGCCATTGTCAAAACCGCCATTGTCGAAACCGCCATTGTCAAAACCACCATTGTCAAAACCGCTACCATCATTGAGACCATTTTCAGCAACAAAACCCACTGAGCCATCTAAATTTTCTTCTAGCTGAGGGTTGTGTGCATCCAAGTCATCGTAGAAATTAGATTTAGAGTTGTCCACTTGGTAATTGAGCTGCTGTTGGTAGGAGTTATTTTTGTCTGTGTCATTGGGCTGGTAGTGGGAGTAATCACTGTTGTCTTTGTTGTCAATAGATGGAAGAACTGGTTGTACAAGGTGTTCATGAGTTGATGAGCCAAGCGTCCGAGTTGGTCAATCAAGATTGGAGATAGCATACTGTCGGAAAAATTCAGTTCTAGCATTGGGTCCCATAACACGAAGGTGCTCGAATTCATATGCTGACAGGGTGCTGGCCCAGTTGTCGACATCTTCAGCGCTATAGTTTTTTAAATCAAAAGCTGGCTTGGGTTGTTGTTCTAAGTAATCTGGATCCGCATTGATGTCTAGATCAGACCGGTCGACAAATTCAATTTCATCCTGATCAACTTCGTCTTTTAATTTGTCTGAACCGCAAGCAGTCTCCTGGTCTCCAATCATGCTATCACCAGGTGGTCGCAACTGTAATGATGAGTGATCTTCTGCTGAATCGTTTGGGTAATCTACAGCTGAGGGTTCTTCGTGATCTAAACACTCAGTAGTATAAGGTTCACCCTTCAAGTCCTCCAACCACCGAGGATCCTGCTCGTAGGTGTACACAGCATGCTTTACAGTTTGTTTGCAAGGGGATTGAGAGGTTTGATGCTGATTGGTTGACCAACTTTGACTGGTTTGCTGAGATGGTTCGTGGGGCCTCTGATGCTTGTGACGACTGTAGACATGTGCGGACTGTTGAATGGAAGGAATGGGAACTGGACATGATTTTGAAGTTGTACAAGCTTTCTCTAACCGTTTGCGGCCAAATCTAGAGTGAGTATTCTTCCAAGCTCTCAATCGATGGGTTGGCTGTTTCCTTGATAGCTGTGAATGAAAATCTAAGCTAGACTGGTACGGGTTTTGCGGCGACATGAACGAGTTGAAAGCCGCAGGTCCATAGTGTGTTGGGGCCGGTAAACAACCAAGAACAAGATTTAGGTCGGCAAGGAACAGCCAAATTCGACCATAAGCACCGCAGGAAGGATCCATCACAGTTGAGTTGTAGAGAGAAAAATCCTAAAAAAAAATTGAACTCTGGTATAGTTCTTCGAGTCTTGTTGCAAGAATAAAACAAAAACGGAATTGCCCCGTTGACAAGAGATGAAAACTGGTCCGGTATGTTTTGTCGGAAATTTGGGAGATCGATTCAGAATTGTTTGTCGGCGAGAGTTAAAGAGTTAGTCCGGTATGGTTTGTCGGCGAGATTCAAAAAGGTTAATCCGGTATGGTTCGTCGGTTCAAGATTTCTTCAGCGTAGCCGGTATCGCAGGCTCATAACCTGTAGGAGCTTCCATGTGTATATCGGTATGGATTCCAGTTAGTGTGGCCCAGAGGAGACAGATGCAGTCTCCTCCGGCTGGCTGAGCCGCAGCTTAGTCACACCATGTGACCTAGGTCACAACAAAATCCAACCTCACAGGACTTACCAAACATTTACAGAGCCAACCACATTGGTTTCACGGATTAGATGTGATTCATCGGTTCCACAATCCCTCTGGGCGGGAAGTGTCCTTGGGGTGCACAGCTGTCTTCAGTAGTTCAGTTGTGACAAGCCCAGTTCAGTATAAAAAATAAAAATAAAACTTCTGAGGCAAGTTGGACAAGCATTTTTGGAATAGCTGTAGCTCATCTGTGTCAATATTCAAGATACTACAAGCAATGTATAATTATGAGTTCTTGAGTAACCACAGGAAGTACAATATTAAAATGTTTGGAAGATTGGAGAATGGAGGACTTCCCGTTGAATTTACAGCCCCCTGTAAAGCTATTTTTACAAGCTTGTGAAACCGTTTTCCCAGCGAAAAATTAGCTTTACAGCCTGTAAATCTAGCTTTACAAGGCCTGTAAAACCCACGGGAAGTCCTCCAATACAGGAATGTGTATCACATAATCAGCTGGTTTTTCCTCATCTTATGATTGCTTTCAACTTCATGGACAGAGCTCATCTGTGGGGGGATATGGATGATGAAGCCCACCCAGAGTGTGCAAGGTGCACACCATCACAGGTATCAAGTCAAAATTACTAGCTCTTTGATTAACATTTCAGTCATTTCATTTCTGGCAAAAGGATGGGTTTTTGGTGCCTCAGATCTCGCAGGATCCACACCAAACTTGAGTCTTAGACAGAGACCTTGCGGGCCGGCTGCCCCCCGGGCTCTCAAGAGGCTCAATATGTGTCAGGCTTGACATAAAACTCCCCACAGTGACACACAGGCTTGGTTTCAAGAAGCAGGGGGGTAAAACGGGAAATCTGAGTGACGCTGACAAGTCACATCCAAGGAAGTGGATTTGGTTTTCTTGGAAGAGGGAATGAGGCTTGATATTTGTTCTTTCATCATCCTCAATGGAATGTAATGCATCTCTCTCAGAAGGAAAACTCCACCTCCTTGCCTCAACCCCTTGAGTCACCCAGAGCCATGGACTCGGACTTCAAACTTGAGAGTGGACGAAAAGTTGCGAAAAGGGCCACATTCCAAGAGTACAGCGCTCAAATCCCCTTTCATGTACACGGTTTTGTTCCTGAAAAGCTTCCTACCTAGTCTCAAGATGCTCTGCATACGTATTATGAAACCTCTTCATAATTCTTCATACATACACTGATTCGGCTGTCGCCTAGCTCTTGAAACAGAAAGGGAGAGAACTTGCAATTTGATAGGACCCGAAGCTGCATTCGCCGTTGGAGGCTTGGGGCCGTGCACTCTAGATGACTGACAAGCGATGCACTCGGGAGGTGTAGTGAGTCAACCACATGTGTCTTCTTGCCCGAATTCCGACGGTTTGTTTGCTGTATTGCGCTCTCGTCTGGATCGCGCCGGTCTTGGCTCCGGATACGTTCACCTCCGATTGGTGGGATCACGCCCTGTTATGTGATGAGGGTCCGCTGCCTTCGGCCCGGGACCTCCTGACCGCCTTCGCATCCAGTCCGCGTTTTCAACTTCAGCAGCTTGCAGAACGGAGCCGGCCAAGGTTAACCAACTCCCTTGGACTCGCTGCCGCGAACCCGGTTGACCTAGATGACCTCGGAGGCCGGCATTTTTCCCCAGTAGCTACTTCGTCATCGGCCTTGCAACCAAATTCGCCAGCAAATCCTTCGCCCGGGCCGGATCTAATTCCTAATTATGCTAGCTCTGTCTTCCACGACGTCTCACTTGACTCATCGTTAATCCCCAGGAAGGCCAAAGACCGCCAGTTGGAAGCTGCAACACGCGATATTGCCACTACTCCACCAGGTCAATCACACACTCCAGACCCTAGTAGCATCTCCGGTCAGTGGCTTTCGTTTGACCTCCATATAACCAATCTAGATCCCCTTCATCGATTGGGTAATATCTGATCAAAAAAATAATAATCAAACTCCAAAAATCCGTTTTATTTTACAGGCGCGAATCAAATCAATCAGTACAACTCGGAGATTGATAAATCGCCCAATCCAGTTGAAATACCAATCAGTGAAATCCCTCCACTTAGTTCTAGTGATGATAGTGGACGCAACAACGAATCGAGTCAGTTGTCTGCCGCTGGAACCCCATCAACTCGGCCATTAGATAACACCGAAAATGACCAGGTTCAACGCGAGCCGGATAGAACGGTAGCCATGAAATTGTACTTGGATCTGACACAAAACTCCCCCAGGTTTCTAGGAGGCAGTGGAAGACTTTCTATTGCAATTCTCAGTGATCACCATAACATTTTCGTTAAGCTGGTCAACTTGAGGGAGTTCGTGAGCGTACACTCCCCCCACAACGTTCCCTATTCCACCGATGTACCTTTCGCGTTGGTCCGAAGTCTCGAAGTCAAAGGCGGTTTCGTTTTCAGGGTCTTCGATCGTTCAAATGGACGAGTACAGGGAGCTCATACGATGGCAGGCTTCCACTACAATTTGATCAAATGGCTCTATAGGGTTCACGAAAGGATGTTGAACGAGTTGGACATCCAAACATACGTACTCTATTCCCAGCAAAAGAAGTTGTTTGCCTGGCTCCATGATCTGATTTTCACCCCTCTCGAGGGTGCTCCAATAATGGGACTCAAGATCTCCGCCCGACCAAAGTGGGAACCCGAAGATACGCCAGGGCCTGCCAAGTTAAAATTACTCGAATTTTTCGCACAACATAAAAATGAGGAACAGGTTTCATTCTTGACCGCCTTCGATTTGATAGACCTCTTCTATAAACATCATCCGCGTAAGTTTGATTTATCATTCAACTTGGATCATTCGAGTCAAGCCAATTTCTGGTTCAAAGAAAGTCATGCCACATACTTAATATTCGGATCCGACGATGGATGACTGATAAAATTTCTCACATTTGTTCAGTGCCTGGCCGTCCTTTGGAACAGCCAAGGAAAATTCCCGTGGATCCATATATCGAGGCAAGGGTGCAATTTTTTTTGAAGTTGGATGAAGATCAGGACGCGAAATACCAGAACTTATTCAAAAAATCACGCATCCAGCCTCAAGACGATCATCTTATACGTTCGAGTATCGAGCTCTTCGAGAAAAAAAATGACATACCGAATTTAAAGTCTCAAACTCTGAGCATCCATCCCAGATTGTTGATCTCCATCTATTATCTCCAAGAGACGCCAGAGTATGGATTCCTGCTAGTGTTAAAACAGAACGACGTTGAGCTGTTTAGATGTCGTGAGATGTCTATCGCCTATAAGAGACTACTCCGAGCGATGAATTACATCCATCTCGCAATCCTCGACCGGATGAACCTAGATAGCCCAGAAAGATATGAAAGAAGGAAAGCCTTATTTCAATGGTTACACAAAAATGTTGTAGAACCACAGACAGGTATCCCTATATACGGAAAGATCAAACTCAATGTGCCAAACCTGGCACCTTGGGAGGACGGCAGTTATCGAGATGAGGAGTTATTCACTCCAGTTCAAGTGGAATTAATGGAGTATTTATCGTCACAGAATAACCCTGTTAATCTGAAAGCTCATGCCGCTTCTATTTTCACTGCTTGGTACCAACTCCATTTCTCATCGGAATTCCCGACTTTAGTTGAAACCGTCAACCAGCAATCCCAAGATCCCCGTATGGCACATTCTTCGAGCTGATTTAAACGAATCTTGGACTTATTGCCTTCAACTGATTTACACCTCTCCTCTTTTTCTTTGCAAGAAAGAATGAGGCTAACCAGATACATTTATCATTCCAAAAGATGGAACGGGATCCAATAAGCGTCAGAAATCACGAGAACTTAATTTTTTGTTTCCTCAAATGTAACCTGTATTGAAATTTTATCGCTCAAATTAAAGTCAATTAATATTGTTCCAGCAACTTCAGCTGTTCCTTCCGCGAGGAAAAAAACCTTGTCGATGTTTTACTGCACAATTTCATTGGATCAGACCCAGAATTAAAGAAAAATTATACATTCATTTCATCTCTGCTAAACCTTCCAACCGAAATGTATGAGGAGCTTGGCGAAGGGGACCATAGAACTTCCTAACAGACTGCTCCGAGCTATTCCTACCAAAACATTTCGATTATGGTCGTCTTTGAATCCGATTAGGGTGAGGAGATTGTTTATGAGATGGGAAATCAGGTCCCACGTTCCGATCCTAGTCAAAGCAAGTGGAACACTAGCTGAGATGAGGTAAATTTCAAGCGACCTTTGGCCGAGCATTTCGAGTGCTGAACTGATGTTAAGGGTGAGTCGAGTTGGGAGAGATACTAAAGCCCTCGAGAATGACCAGTATAACAAGCTTGTCGCGGTAGTCTGTCCGACATAGGTAGTCGTCCAAAGGAGCTTGGAAGCAGGTGAAGGCAACAACCCGGTCAACAAGCTTCCAAGGATCCCGAGTCCTATAAGCTGAGGAGTCTCGATCGTGGCCAAGTTTTGAATGGGACGGGCTAGATAGCTCCCCAGAAGACTGGAGATTGGCACGGTCAAGAGGGCAGCGAGGATTCCTTCAGGATCGAATCCGGGGACCGGGTCATACAGATGAGAAGGGCCAAAAATTCTCCGGTCGAGCCATGCTTGTGAGCTCAAATGGAGCGGGTCGAATGGGCGCAGACGAGATATCATGTACCACGAGAGACCGAGGATTGCGGGGAAAATTGGAGGCTTGATGATCCAGTAGGATTCCAATGTGCAAACGAGCGAAGAGATTCCAATGGTTCCGAGCACAGATGGAATCCTATAGGTTTTCAAATTCAATAGGCCATCACCATGTAATCCCGCCAGTCGCGGGATTAGATTGTTATACGCTATTCCGATCAGATTCAATTTGATGGCCCGGATGAGAGTTCTTTTCAGCGATGGATTTCGACCATTCTGCTCGTTCTTTTTCGATTGAGCCGAAGCTAGGCCGGAGGTGAAAACGAAGCACGGGAAGAGTGTCTGGATTGTGAAATTGACATATTTCGGGGAACATTCAGAATCAATCGGTTCTATTTCCACTTTTGGTAAACATCGGTACTTTTTTCTCATTTGACCCACACAAGGTTTTTTTTTTTTTGGAAAAGAGAAGGTACAACCAACAGTCGACTAACATCAGCAAAGGTAATGGATTGATGGATCGAAGTCGGATGTGATAGCCAGCTGGGACGAACGGGTCCGGCGGTGTTGACAAGGACCATTGCCAGACAAGTTAATCCACGAAGCACATCGATCGATCGATCTCTCTTCGCGAGAATGTCCGATTCGACCACCTTCACCGGATCGACGTCTTTATCGGTTTTCTTTGTTTTATGTGCCATCGAGAAAGTCTTGAACTGTTGAGGAGATGATGCTGATTGACTCAACCAGGGAATCAAATCGACTCTGTGTAGCCTAAAAAGAAAAAAAATAAAGCTGAAAAAATCGGGAGGAAAAGCTTGTTTATGTCAGTGCGGTCATCATGTCTCCCACGCCGTCCACCGCTAAACAGCATCCTCGTTTGTGGAAATGAGCATGTGTGCATTCTGAGGCAAACAAGATCGGTAGTTCCAGTGAGATTTGGCGAGCAGTTGGAGTGGTCAACAGGGGAGGAGGGAGGAAGCCAACCACCTAATCAAACCAACAAACCCATGTATCCTTCATTGGTCATGGCCAGTCATGATCCCCCTAGCAAAATTTACTCATCATCTTCATATCAAGCTTGGATACTATCACAACAATGGATTGAACCCAACACAAGTCCCCCTGGTGGGAGGCTCGCTGGTGTGACTGGCTGGGCGCGAAGTGCCCCCTCCCGCAGGGAGGGGCTTGAAACTTAGAATGCTTTCCCAGTGTGAGGCAGAAACACCGTTTTGGTCACCTGTGGTCACACCACCTGCATATACTGAAGGAGTGGAAACGTAGGTACCATTATGGTACACAATACATGTCACCACTGCAATAAAAATAGGTAGTTTGGAATATCTGAGATGTCTCCGATATCTCGAAAAACCAGGCCTTTTTTTTTTCCTCAAAGTCCCCATCCTCTCGCCTGCCCCTGGGAGGGGCCATTTTTTCGGTAAGTCCCCCATCCCCGAGGTTCCCCCTCATGCCGGTATGCTACATCACCCACCCATATCACTGACCTACCTTACATCACTCCACCAATATTATGTACATAAATACACTACATGATACTGTGTAGTCTCACCGTCATCCCATACACCTCCGATAGCTCCAAGCCGGCCCGGGACAACACACTCATCCACCCGATCACCCATACCGACTGCACCCTCACTCGGCGCATCACCACACCCATCACTCACCAGAACGTCTCACTAGCCCCATCACCCACCAAATACCAATTCGTACTTCACCAAACAACAAACTCACATGGCCCCTAACAGGAAATACCAGGTGCCCGTCAAAGGAGATCGAACAACCAGATTGAGACGAGCCGCGAATGGACCTTATAATGCTCAGGCTTTGCAACGGTTACGAGCTTCCCAACGGGACGCAGCCCGCGGGGACACCGCAAGACGAGAAGAAGATGCGTTCCAACAAGAGGACATTCTTCAGCAGCCGCCAGACCACATGTACGATGACGCACCTCCGAATCAAGACGAACAACAGGGAAACTCTGCAGAAGTTGAAGAAGATACCGAATGTGCGTGGGTCACCCTGGACGAGGAAATACCAAACCCGATTGACCAAGTAATCCAGTCAAGAATAGAGCAACATCGACGAGACGCAAGGAATTTTAACCTTGCTTCGGTCATACGTGCCCTCCACCCGACTTACATGGCTTTGAAGCATCGAACACAAAATTGGACCGGTCCGGAGGCAGCCCACTCGTTTGTCAACTGCCGCTGTGCACCTCACACAGTCACTAAGCGCATGGTGGACATGATAGATATAATGGGTGAGCCGTTCAATCAACTATTCCTCGAGTGAAGGAGTAATCCACTATTCCTCGATCAAAGAAGCTGACCATTGATCTACACCACAATAGGTCAACACCGTCGAAAAATGACGTTTTGCCGGTGTACCCATGATGCTGTCCGACTGCTCCAGCAGGGTTATTTAGCAGGATCCCCGATTCAACCACAAACTGCTTTCTCGATGCGACTGATGACTTTCCATAATGAGTTATGGAATCAATGTCATGTTGGAACTCTCCCGTTTACTTTGGCCCTCACACAATGGCTAGAACCGAGGTCGGAGCGTCTCTTTGCCAAGAACAAAAAGCATGTGGGTGTTGGTGTCTGTCCACTGCAGTGTTTCCAGCAATCCAATTTTTCTTACTTACCTAACCACTTGACTTGACAGGCTCGCAAGATTCGAAAGCCATTTACCGCCGCAATTGACATGTTTCGTCAACTCAACGATATGACAGACTCTGTTGTTATGGAAGCGCTTCAGCTGAGCGAACAAGACAAACTAGCCGGCCTTTCATGTCCAGCGTGCTTTGGCCCCCAGCCACCCAACTCAGACCAATATCCCGAAACAACCCGAGACCGATTGATTATTTGTTTGGATGGGAATTTTCAACACCGTCATCACATGAAAGCCAGCCGTGATGAATCAGTTCGAACACCTCGTATCTTCCTTGAACATTGTGAAGTAGAAGACATGTCCGCGGATATCCGAGCAAAGGAACTAGAACATCAACCTCCTGCCAAGGTATGATCTGGTTTGATCTCATACTTTTGTTACCATTTGCAGAGTGTTCATCTGCTTGCCCTTGTTTCTCTAGGCCGACCGATGTGCAGATGCTCATAAAGCTGCTGACGATAAAAGAAACGAATCAACCTGGAAAGGATGTGATGACACTGGCTTGATGGGGTGTTGCTGCCGCCATGATATGGCTGTTTACCTTGCCAATATACACAAGTCTGGAGAGCAGCGAAAACTCCCATGTGCCTTGATCAAGCGGGTATTAACAGCAGTTGAGCCAAACCGGAAATTGGGCATCTTATACGACATAGGATGCTCACTCGACAAATTTATCAAAATAGTGGGTAACTTTAACTTTTTTTCTAGGTACACATTGTTTAAATCAGTTTTCCCTTTGGGTCCATGATGGGTCATCAGCGCGGTCTTTTCCAGGCAGATCAAAGTTGAATCCAGTTTGCTACTTCGGTCTTCCATGCCTATGTGCACAACTGGTTATGTCAGTTAGACTACAACCCACGGTACAACAAGGGCTGGGGCCTCTCTGATGGTGAGGGTTTGGAACGCATGTGGTCATATTTATCACCACTTGTGAGTCCATTACGCTATGCCACTCGCAATCATCGGTTGGCCTCAATTGCGCACCGATTGAAATTTCATAATCAAAGAGGAAAAAATCGACTTGGTAAGTCATCTTGTTTCCAGTTGATACCTGTTAACATAGGCTGATACCAATTGATTAGCTTTCTGGTTACGGAGGAAATTTTGTATTGCAGTTACTCGTCGTCGGGAAACTCGAGCTGAACTAGCAGGCCTACTCAACATGAAAAATCCACATTCTGGTCATGAGGTGAATTATAATCAAGGCTTTTTCATGCGGCAGTGGAAGAATCAACGCCAATTTCAGCAGGATCACACTGAGGAGGAAAACGATCGAAGAGAACAGTTAGTTAAGTTGTACAAGGAGGAGGCTGTCCTTGAGCTGCTTAGGTATGAACTGGTGATAAAGTTAACATATCCCTTAAGGATGCTGACACCCTAATATTTGAGTTTAGGAACCGTCTCATGGGACCAGAAGTGTTCCTGGCAACTGAAGAGCAGGTAGTAGAGCTACTAGATAACATATCCAAGAAAACTGAGGAATTGAAGAACGTTGCCGAAGAGTTGCACAGGACTGGTTCAACTAGCGAAGGTTTGTACATTTATTTTTGAGATCTTTGTGTTACAGTCAAAACTGATTCTTTGATTAGGATCTGAACGGAATGAGGAGGAGAGGCTTCTCCTCCTCCTATGGGATGCCAAGTCTGAACTATTCATTCATGCGGTCAACTTGCATGCGGAACGACATCCGGTTGTGAATTCGAAAACAATGAAAGATCGATTGGGGACAAAGCTGAAGGAAAAGATATTCAAGGCAATTGGGAACCGACGTCCGGCAGTTGAGAAATGTATAGCATCTTTCAACAAATGCTACACCGACTTTGTCACAAAATTCCCCAACCAATCAGTATCCAGCCTCCAGGGTCGATTGACATACGACGTCTTTTCAGCCTTGCCACTGGATGACAAGTTCTGGAATGACGGGCTGTACTTTCACTCAAAGGCCCCTTGGGCTGTGGATCCGGATGTCCGAGCGGGGATCAGCTGTGTTCTGGTGCTGAGCAGAATTCAAGAAGAATTCCAGCTCATTGCCCAAGAATTAGCTCGGGCGGTTGGGTGGGCAATCTCACACCATGCACACCTGGTGGAGTACATTGCTTACTTGCAAAAACGTGAGTTATTCTTTCCTTTCCATAATTGATCTCTCTCTTATTATCAATCTCTTTCTCCTTCTTGGTCAATCTCTATAGGGTACGATCTTCTGAGCAAAAAGGATGAGAATGGAAATCGTCTTAGTGGTGTGGACGAAGAGCGACTGGTGCCTTTCGATTGTGTTGATGGAATGGATCTTGGGGGCCTAAACAGAAGGCTGAAGATCAAGTTAGTCCAGCAGGAATTGTACACACGCATAGATGAACATGAAGTGCTGGTCGAAGAATGGTCCGAAGACATTGTTTGGCTCTGGAGTATGTGTCAGCCATTACCCAACAAACCACACATCAAGCAGTGGCATGATTTGATCAACCGAATAAGAGGTAGGAAGGTGAGGAGGGATAATGGTGTTGGAATCGATGAGACCTTAGAAGACACTGTGATAGAAGCTGGTGCACTTGATGGTGATGGGGAAGATGCTAGTGATGATTTGGTAGATGAGGTTAACTGACTTAGTTCCCTTCTCTCATTGCAATATTCCTCATTTCCCTTTCATTCCCTATAACCTGTCTCTTTCCTGGTCATTTTGCATTAAATCTCAATCGTGTATTTGGCTCTCTTAGCCCTTTCATTTGGTTTCAGTTTCTTGGTTTGATTTCTTGTGATGTTGGTCATCTACATAATATACACCAAACTATCCAACAATCATACTGTTTTGTCATTTACAACATATTGGGTACTCTACAACATATTGGGTACTCTACAACATATTGGGCACCACCTCTATTGGGTACTACTTCTGGCACTGGTTATTATCATTTGTGATTGTGTGCTGATACAGTGAGTTCTTTGTTGAGACCTCACCAAAGCTTTCATATCCACAGGAAAGCCCAATGCATTGCACAAGGGATTTTATCTAATAGAAAATGGAATTACATGGATTGAGTATGTTCCAACATATTCGCTTGGTGCTAAATAGTTGCACTTGCTAAATAGTTGCACTTGCTAAATAGTAGCACTTGCTAAATAGTTGCACTTGCTTGGTGCTAAGAGTTGCACTTGCTTGGTGCTAAGAGTTGCACTTGCTTGGTCCCAAATACTTTCACTTGTGTGGTACCAAATACTTTCACTTGCTGGAGATGTTGGAACATATCCAACTTATGGCAGCACCAGTGAGTGACACTAATTAGCACCAACAAAGCAATAAGATGGAACATTATTAAATACAAGTTTCTCCATTAGAAACTAACTTAAGTTCATGTGTGCAAATGCTCAAAAAACTATCAGCATTGTAACAACATTTCCACCAACCAAAATCTGTTTCTGAATGCAGCAACAAATTTGCCAATTCAATTGTACCTTCATTCTTTTGGTTTTTAATTTACCTTCATTCTTTTAGTTTTTAATTTAAATTCATTCTTGCTGTCCTCCCCTCAGATTTGGGGAAGAATAGGCCTTCATACAAAAGAGGCAGGCTGATGTGGTACATATCCTATGTTTTTTGGGAAAGTTTGGCTGTTGCTTGGGTGTCCGAAATTGCGCGGTGCAAACTTGATCCTGGGTGAATTCCTGGTATCATTTTAGACTTCAACCTCAAATCATCGAACCTCAACTTATACAAATCATCGAACCTCAACTTATATTCTGCTATATCCCTCAACTTACTTTTTGCTCTATCGGCCCTCAACTTAAATTTCTGGTGACAAGGTACCACTCGTTGTTATCGCTGGCCACTACCACTCGTTGTTATCGCTGCTGGCCACTTGCGGATATTGACGGTCATATTCCAGGTCTGTTGCGCCCTTGGTCCAGATTTCTACAAATTTTCGAACATACTGATGATATCTTTGAATTTGGAATCTAGCAGCTCGTTGTTATCGCTGGCCACTTGCGGATATCGATTCTCAAATCCCAGGTGTGCAACGCTCAAATTCCAGGTCTGTTGCGCCCTTGGTCCAGATATCCACAAAATTCCAAACTTCACAACGATATCTTGTGGAATCCAGCAGGCCGACATCTGATATCCCTTTGACCGGCCTTGCAGACAGAGAAGAATAAGCGGTAGTCACGTCGCGGTGTGCAAATCCAACTATCCATCAAGTAACCACTGTGTCATATCGGACATATCTGGCGCACCCGATCAAGTAGTTATATACCTATACCCTTGGTAAGTCAACTCATAACCGGTTCAGAGTACTTAAAAAACCTACGCTGACTGTCTCCATCATTCCCTCACCCACCCATCGCATTACTTTTACTCTACTTTTACTCGATCCACACAATATTGATTGTATTATCACTGTGCCACCGCACTGAAATGGCTCCTCGGAACATTCGCAGAAGCACCCCTACACCTCAGCTCCCCCCGTCCAGGGGATTACAGTCTTCAAATCTTGCCAGCCGTCTCAACCGGTCTCGGAGGGCTAGTGCGCAGAGGGACTTGGACTCATTACTCCAAGACTCTCAGAGGCACCTTAGGCTTTCACCTGGCCCGGCATCAACTCGCTCCCAGCTCACTTTGCCTGGCGAATCCATTGCTTCAGTCAACCTCAACCCATCCACCACATCCCGATTCAATCTTGATTCTAACCTCCCCCTCCCACCAAGTCCTTCGCCTCCCCCCGCTTCCTCCAAAGGTCCTCCTGCCCGGCCAATGGCTTTCCAGTCTGATCCTGGAGACCCCTCGATGTCCGACCTATTTGGTTATTCAGACCCCTATCAACCAAACGGATTGGCTGAACAAGCGACATACTACGACCCACTGCAGCATTATGAAGCCCCCTATCAACATCACCAACATCCTCACAATCAGCGATCTCAACACCATAATCTGCAACAATCCCATCAACAACCTCACCTTCTGCATGCTCAACAACCTCAAATTTACCAACAATTGGCTCAACCTCACCAATCCGGCCAGCAATCTATGTATCAACCACCTCCTCCAAAACCAGTCCAAAGCCAACGACCTGTTCAGCATCAACATCACTCATCCGGACTCCCTTTGGCACCTCTTCAAGGCAAGCAGCTACCTAGCTGGCAGCAACTCAATGCCGACGCTGAAGCCTCTTTGGCCAAGCAAACTGCTCCTGTCACCCGTAAAAAGCGTGAACCTCGCAAGAAAAAAAACGACCAAACTCAGCCCAAACAAGCAGCTACCTCGGTTCCAACCGTGTCCGCTTCGTTGAATCCAACACCCGCAAAGGAATCTCAAACTGCTTCAACCGTGAAGACTTCCACCTCAACTCAAACTCAGACTGCTTCGCTTCAGGCTGCTGCCACTGCATCGGACACCGAACACTTACCAAGTCCAGCAACCACTACCTTGCCGGCCACGACTACCTTGCCGGCCACGACTACCTTGCCGGCTACCACTACCTTACCGGCCACCTCGTCGATCATCCCTCAACATCGTTCTCACTCGGGCTTCCCTTTGAACTCTACTCGAGTCCCTGCGTCCAAGAGACCATTGGAAGATGATGTTGTCGCAGAATTTGAAAAAGAAAACCTAGACGAACTCCGCCGCATCGCCCGCCGCATTGCTGAAAACCATCGCCTGACTGCCGAGCAGAAATTGGAGTTTGACCAAGTGTATGACCGATACCAGAGGGATCTGCATAAGACGGCCATCAAATACAAGTTGGATCCTGCGGTTCCTTTGTCGTATGTTGGAAACAAAACCCGAATTCGTGGTCCCTCATCTTACAATAACTTCTGTGTGTACAATCCAGAAGCGAGTCCTATTCACCACGACTGTAAGTCAAGATCATTTCCTCTTTTGTAATTAAAGAGGCTCATGTTGATAGATGTTGACCGACCCTATCGATTGTTCAGACACAAAACCAGTTAATGAACGAGCGGTCTTGACTGCGGCTCTTTGGGCCAAACTTGACAAACAAGCGAAGGCAAAATACCGAGATCCTGACTATCTTGAAACATTCCCGAACCCCTACATAGGAATCCGAAAGGCTGCTGAGGCTTGTGCGAATCAAGAGGACCAGACCGATCGGGTTGGGCCGAAGAAATCAAGAAAGCAGTATGTCAACATGAAACCCGATCGATGGGCAAAAAAGGTGCTTCTTGATGTACGTACATTTCTAATCTTTACCAATTCTAGCTCTGGTTGTTAACTTCGCTTCGGTTTTTAGTTGAAGCGGATTGGAGAGGCCTATCAAGTCGAAGGCTTCTTAGTTTTTGTCACGCGGCACAGGAAACGCACAGCTATCATTGAGGGTGGAAGCACCCTCGGTCAACACTATCTCGACATCACCGCAGATGACAAGGACGTGATTGGACCTGCGCAGGACTTTGCCGACTTTGTCAATGGATGCAAGGTCATCAAGAAACACACTGGTGTGGACCCTCTCCCTGTTAAAAAGCCAAGGAAGCAAAGGAACGGGAGAAAGGTGTTGGCCGATGGGAAATACGACAAGGGTAAGCAGGCAGACTCATTGGAAAATATAGTCTTGGTTCTCATTCTGACTCATCGATATCTATGTCTATCC